ATGAAAATGTGTTAGTGATTTTTTTTACATTTTATTTTACCCTTGGCGCCCCATAAAATGTCCTTCAGAGATGCAGTCAAAAAGAGACACAACAAACAAAAAAGAACTGAAAACATCCATGGAGTCTTACAAAGATCTTCAAATATTCTAACACAGTGAGACAAACTGCAAAGGACTGCGTCCCCAAATTTATTGAAGAACATCCCCTTCACCTCTGCAGTTTTTTGGCTTAAACTATACATAATGGGCAAGTTTTCCTATTTAATCAGAATTTTGGGTGAATCTGGTTGTTGAGTTCATCTAATCCCAAAAATTATGTCCAGTTGAACATCCTATTGAACTACATGCAACCTGCAAAAATTAACACTTTTGGAGTCAACCTGACTCAAGATGGCCACCACAGCTAATAAACTTCAAAATAGCTATAAATCAGTTTTACAGAGCTAAAGTTTGGTGTGGTTGTAGCTGGGTCATTGCAAACATACTCTGAGTGCTTACAGATCTTAAGAATTTTGTTGAAAACTTTGGCACAGAAAGCAGCAGCTGATATGCATGTTCTGTAGTTTTAAATCTGAGCAGAGGTTGTGTCATCATTGCTAACATCAGCTCTAGTAGGTATGTAGCTCTTTAATCAGAAAATGATTCCTTAACAGTGTAAAACAACGGAAATCCTGAACTGCTGTTATTGGCTTTTAGTTTTGRTGAGGCGCCCCAAGTTTATCCGCAGCCCCCCTTTTAGCCACACCTTTGAAATGTTCCWGCAGGCACCCCTGCCCCCTTAGACAACAAGTGTTCTGTTTATTTTTTCCACACAGGTCAAAACCCAAGAAATGGATCAGTTTAAGGAGGTGACTGTAGGAGTAGACAGGCTCTACTCYATCCCTTCAACCAGCCTGCAGCATCAGGGCACCTACCAATGTGAGATTTACTCTGGGGGTCGCTCCATCGTCAGACTGTACTACTACATCTCAGGTAACAGAGTCACCACAGAGACTTGTGATAATTGTTGTCCTGGMAAAGGATAATAATAATATATGGTAAATAGGTTGTGTGTTTTAAGGAAAATTCACCCAATTTATCAGTCTTTTATGAGGTTTTTCTGCTTTACCTGAGTTTATATTTTAGAGCAGAGGTCTTCAACTCTGTTCCTCGTGTCCTGCATGTTTTAGATGCTAAGGCAAATTCATTTTGATACTTGATAACTTTTGGTCACAAAATAACTTGTGACAACATTTTTATTTATTTTGAAGTTATATTATGTTACTAAGACAACAGACAGTTACAGTTTGATACAAGGTCAAMAAAGCTGATGTTAAAATAAAAGAAACATATTTAGTTATAAAACGGCTACAGTTTGTTTTGTTGAAACAAGTRATTGAATAGAACCAGAACCAAAAACATAAAATTGATATTGAATCAAATAGGGACTTGAGAGAATTKTTACATCCCTATTTTCCTGCTTGCACACCTGACTGAAATGAATGAGTGACATTCTGAGCAGGTAATTAATTGATTTGAATCAGGTGTCCCGATGCAGAGGAACAGCTGAAACATGCAGGACGGTGGGACATAAAGAAGAGAGTAGAAGACCTCGGTTTTAAAGTTTTGATTATTAAATGTWTTTTTATTTTTTCTCAACTGGTTTTGAGTTCTGCATCGTTCCCACCTGGTGTCGGTTTCTAATCAGCACACCTGTTCTTTGCTTGGTCATCAATCCTCTCAGTAGACAAAAAGATTTACGTTCAGTTCAAATGTTTTAGACAGAGTTTGGGATAGACTTATCTCCAGCAAGGGTTCAGCATAACAAGACATTTTGGGCTTTTRTACCTCCAAATTTGTTGCAGATTGTCCTGACTGTGCCGCCTAGCGGGTTATCAGTCCCATAGAATGGCTTCAGACTGTCAGCTGGTTAGTATGAGGCATAAAGCTACWAAAGTTAATTTTAGAGAAAATTACCTGGGCTAGGTTAAAGTAGACCGGCAGATTGTTGCCTTCCAACGTATTAGTAGGTACACAGTCTGAAGCCATTCTATGGGACTGATAACTGCTAATAACATCCATTTAATGGACTAATAACATCCGAACTGGCTGAGTTTTCTTTGTTTAGRGAACAAGCCTCACTCAAAGTTGCTGACCATGTCTGTGCCATTATTTTTGTGCCAATATTTTTCTGTCACCAGACAATTATTTGCTTTAAGTTTCATCCAGTTTAAAGATAGATACAGTGTACAGGGAATCAGGAGTCACAACAGGTTAAAACACAATACAAGTAAAAGCTAAATTATACATCACATCCGAAATAAAACAAAGTGCAGCTAAAAGACGGCCTCTACAACCATGAACAATGGAGATGCTCATATTTTGATAATTAAATGTTCAATTCACAACAGACCAGCGGAATAATCTTGCATTTYATTTAATTTAACGCGGAAACAAAATAGAAAACTGAAGAAAAAAATACAAATGATCAACTTTCAAAACAAAATAGAAGTGTTGTCTCTATGGGAAATAGAATCTGTAGAACATGACGTAATTCTAAAACCTTTTAACCCACGAATGTAACCAAATGACATTTAATAGCTGATATTACATTAGAGGTCAATGATTTGGAGAAAAACTAAACAGAGTAGAAAAGTAGAAACAAACTGCCGATCTGGCGTTTCAAACTTGTRATGTCACAAATCTAAACTGCTCTGCATATTTACCACTCCTCTCTCTGTCTCTCTAAGTGACCTCCCAGCTTGTGGTGGGCCACACAGAGCTGCAGGAGATATTTGACCTGTCTCTGCTCCCTGGAGGGCAGTTACTGCCTGCACCCGATGCTTCTCCCCGCTCCGTCGTCCTCCTCCTCCCGTTTCTCCTCGCCACCTGTTTAACCACTTCACTGCTGCTGCTGTTCGTCTCCCTGGGGTAAAACACAGCTATTATTTGCACGYGATAAGACATTAGCAGCATCGGACACCTGTCCTTGTGAATACAAGATACCTGTCGCCACGACACGTGCACATCTTAGTGTTTAATGTCCTGGTTTGTCTTTGGCTGTTTCAGGGCTCTGCACTGGATGTCAGGACAAACTCGTCCCGATGAAGACTCAGACGAGGAAGAGGACTGGGGTTTGGAAGTTTGTAATGGTGAAGAAAGTATTCGGTAATAAACCGTTTCTTCAAGCACTGGATCTTCTTTGGAACATTAYGTCATAGTTTACTCAAAGCCTGCATTTGATTATTTTCACCACTAGAGGACAGGATGCTCATGTTTATTGTGACATTGTCACACATTTTTTCACACAATAAACAAAAACATCCACTTAACTAAGATAAAAAATTTTTAAAGTAAAGCTATTTCTGTAGACTAACTCTTTATTTATGGGGTGCCATTTGTAAAGTTACACAGTTAAAAATTACCAATGTTTTTTGTTTTATTTAGCCTTTTATAAGAAAAAAGACAACTTTATTTTTCAAAGTCAGTTTTTCACCATATAATTCATACATTTATAAATGTCATAGTTTATAAACTAAATATTTAACTCATAAATTAAATATTTAGGTAACTAGCTAAATATTTAACTTGCTAGCTAAATATTAAAGTTGCAACCTAAATATTTAGCTAGATACTTAAATATTTAGGTTGCAACTTAAATATTTAGCTGGCTACCAAAATATTTAACTTGCAACTTAAATATTTAGGTTGCAACTTAAATATTTAGGTGGCTAGCTAAATATTTAACTTGCTAGCTAAATATTAAAGTTGCAACCTAAATATTTAGCTAGCTACTTAAATATTTAAGTTAAATATTTAGGTAGCTAGCTAAATATTTAAGTTGCAACTTAAATATTTAGCTCAAAACTAAATATTTAAGTCACAAGTTAAATATTTAGTTTATGAACTATGACATTTATAAATGTATGAATCATATGGTGAAAAACTGACTTTGGAAAATAAATCTGGTCTTTTTTATTATATAAGCCTAAATAAAACAAAAATATTGGTGGTAATTTTTGACTGTGCAACTTTACAAACGGCACCCCATATTTATTTGTCGGTGTATGGGTATTGATTAGTTGACCCTCTGCAACTACGTCACCCACTCACGTGGTGGCGCCGTGATGGATGCCGGGAAGTGAGGGAGGGGAGTATTGAATGGAGCGATGGCGATTGTTTTCCCAAGTTATTCCAGTACAGCCATGGAAGTAGAGAGCTTAAACTTTGAGGGTGCTTCATTTTCATTCACAAAAAGTTTTATCGAGTGTAACGTTTTGAGACGGTAGAACAGATCTGATGAGTTCCCGCCGCTCGTTGGCACCACTCTCACAGCAGACTGTGAACCACATCCACGCCATTTAATTTAGTATGTTCTTTCATATCAACTGTTTTGTCTTTTTCAACTGTGGGCCCTGGTTCACTCACAACTGTAAATTGAGTAAAGTAGCAGCAGTAAAGTAAATCGAGCACCGAGCTCTGCTGTAATATCTATTGATTGAATTTCTTTAAGTCATTTTAGCGTTATCAAAACATTTTCAGCTCTGACATGAATCAATGTTGATTTATTGTCCACTATTCTAAAGTATATGAATGTTAATCTTCTTACTTTGTAAAAAGTGTTTGCTGCAAATCCATGAATACACTGAGAGCTGCCAGTTTTTACAGCCGATGGCTGCTATCCATCGTTGTTTTCTGTCTTCATCCAAAGGTTTGTAGTAAAATAACAGCTTTGTTTTGTTTTCTTGTCTGCTTGTGCAGCCGACCGCACAGCACCTTCATACAAGTTGTATAGATTGTCCATAAATGACACAGATTTTCCTCCGTTTAACTGATATACAGACGCATTGAGAAATCTCATGGATTTTTTTTTCAAAAATTCAGCTTCAAATTAATTTTACGTCTTAGAGCCTGTACGATGCAAAAGTAAATAAAGTAAAATAACCACCTCTCAACCTGCTCAGCTACTAGAAATACGTTCCCCACCTATTCCTGTCCTCCTTTCCCTGCTCCTCTGCRCTGCAGGTGCTGCTATCTCCACCCAAACTCTATCAATGCTCACAGTCTACTTGTAAAAATACAGCACCCCGTGACCATTTTTACAAATAAATCAATTAAATAAAAGCAGTATTAGGCTACCAMCTGTCTGTTTTTTGATTGTGCTTTGTGAATAGATAAATGAGGGCACAGATGTAGTGTGAAGCCCTTTGTGGATCCTCATTAGATAGAAAGGTGCCATATATAGTCCATTTACCATTTCTATTAATTCATTTTTTTGGTCATCTTTATTCACACACCTGTGGCTGCAGGTTTGCCTACAAGATAAACGCAACCAAAATGTTTAATGTCTTTATTTGGAAGAAAAAAAAGAAACAAAGACCTGAAACAAGACCCGATGCTTCATCTTTTAGCTGATTCTTTGGCTTTATGTCTGCTTCTCAGTTAATTTTACATCAGAACAGTACTCTTCAGTGCTTGGTACTAGATCTTTACACTAAAATCAGGTGTTTTTCAGACAAGAAGCTCAAAGGACTCCATGTGACATGGTCTGTGGAGGGACACTGATGGCAACAAGCTCTGATCAGTGAGAGAACAGCAAGAAAAATGCATAAAAGCAACCAAGTTAAATTTAGAATCAAACAAGCTGGACGTTTAAGCACATTTTGGAAGGAGGGAGTCTTGATTGGTTATCAGAGAACCCTTTGATAACAAGTATCAGGTTAGACTGGAGATAAAACTTTACTGACAAGAGGAAATAATGAAACTGACAGTGCAGGTACTGTTTTGTGCTGTGTGCTGGACTACATTTTTAACTCCTGGTTATAAAAGATTGAATTGATTTGACATATTTTACAATAGAAAGAAATATGACTCCAAACTAAACAACAATAAATATATAATTAAAAAAAGGGATTTAAAAAGTGTTCAACACAGTTGCTTTTGTTTTTAATTTGTAGTGCTGCTAATTGACCACGAGGAGGCAGCAGCATACAGAAACCCAAATAGGAAGTCATCTCACAAAAGTTAGAACAAGTTTTAGTTGGAGTTCATATGACTTTAGTCCTATTTCACAGAAAGAGTGTGACCCCAAAGAAAAGGTGGTTGTCAAARACAACATTCTTAAACCCAAACTGTGGACAGGGAAGTGCTTCAGTTGCAAAACTTTAAACATCAAATGCAACATTAGTCATTCATCAGCCCCTGCATGCAGGAATTAATCACTCATGTCTAGAAATTTTGGAAAAACTTTCAGATGAGAGAGCCTGTCTTTTTTGTCCAGACAGCAAATTAAAGGTCAGTCAAGCTAACAGATTCTGGTACTTAGGCTGGATCAGTGGGTCAAAGGGCACATTACACTAACAGGTCTTCACAGATGAAGCAGAATGATGGAAGAAGGACGAACTTACTCTTACTATGTTTTAATCTATTATTTCAAGGGAGTATCTTATCAAACTTATCGATCAATAATACATTGAATGGCGTCTTATGGGAAATCAATATTTACATACTTGATTTATTCACCCTTCTTATTTATCAGAACTCAACAGCTGAGGGCTGAATTCAATCATTACAGGGACATTTCATCCACCAGGTTTGTCTCTTCATTATACACCCATTTCTGATCTGTTCAAGATCATTTCATAACTTCATACACATAAGCATCATCACCAGACAGTGTGTCAAGTGATTTTTTTCATCACTCCAGCAAAGTCACAAATCAAAGTCAAAGGTTAAACAAGGTATTTGCTTGTCCAGATCACTGCCATATGTTGCTTTATTGCTGTATAATAGTTTACAACAGGTGTATAATGTGCCATATGCACTTTTATTTTATTATCATCTAAAAGAAATGCAACAGAACATCAGATGTGGTGCCAGGGTGGAACTAGGGGGTGCTATAGCTCCACCTGGAAAAGAAAAATAGTAGATTATTTTCTCTTTTTAATCTACTATTTAACTTTTTTTTACATGTGGTTTATGTGGCATTTCATTTACAAAACACAACTTTCTTGTTTGCGTCGTTTGAAGAACTACCTAAGAAACAGCAGGTGAACAAGTGACCTGGCACTTCTATCTATCAATCCTTTAAGAACTCATTGGCAGACTGGGTGGAAATCACRGCCAGCTGGCTGCCAATTGTAGCTGTGCTATACAGTGTGTAGCACTCTGCTGAATCAGGCTAAAATTCAGCACAAATTAATAAATATTACCAGCTGGCTTTGCTTCTGATTTATGTAATGTTTACACAGTATAAAGTAAGATCATATATTTGACTATTTTTATGTTTCTACTTGACAAACCTGACCTTTTGAGAATATGTTTAGCCCGAATTTTCCTACGCAGGACAATAAAGACTGTTTCTATTCTATTCTATTCTATTCTATTCTATTCTATTCTATTCTATTCTATTCTATTCTATTCTATTCTATTCTCAGTAGATAAGTTTTATCTTTCAATAGATCACTGGGTACGCAGTGAACATTTTCTAAGTATCGACCGGTGAAAATGATTATTATTTATGTCATTTGTGATTGATCAAATGAAGGTTAGATCCAGTTTTGTATTTTTACATTTTCTGATCATTGTAGTTTTAAGTTTAAAGCAGAGAATGAGAGTTGGTGTGTGTCAGGGGCAGGGTGGGTTTGAAATTCAGCCCGGGAACTTGGTTTGGAGAGGGCTTTTATCTAATCRCACGATGGACACAAGYAGAACCATMATTTTAATGCAGATACATTATCTGCTGTATTAAAACTGTTTTTTCTACAATCAGCTTCAACAAACAGCTTATCTGAAACATCAAAGCAAATACCGGCAAACAAAAACCAACCTCAAAAGGAATATGACCTATCATCCATCCATCCATCCATCCATCCATCCATCCATCCATCCATCCATCCATCCATCCATCCATCCATCCATCCATCCATCCATCCAGTGCTGCTTTATCTGCATGAAAAGAAAATTAATATTGATAAATATTATAAATAGTTCATTAACACCAGAAAAGGTGTCCTCAGATCTCAAGAGGTTAATATAAATTATTACAAAGACCCATCATAAACACAGTGCTGCACGCTGCACATGTACCTGGTTTTTGCTCCACTTTCCTGCTTCTGCTCATCATCTTCCTCATTCTCTTCCTTTTCCATCTCCTCCTCCTCCTCCTCCTCCTCCTCCTCACCCTCTGTCC